AGAAGGACTATAAACACTGAAAGCAAGAATTAAGAAAATTGTAAAACTTTGAATAAATTCTTGTTTAAAACTTTTTTAACTTGTAAACTTGTATTTAAAATTTTGGAAATGAATATATATGCTATATTATATATTAATAAATTAATATCATATACAGTATATTTTAATATCGTGCATTTATGTAGTTATTCTAAAGTATTGAATTAGTATTGTGCAGATCTTAAAATTTATATTTGTAAGTTCATATATATCTCTAAAATCCTCACTTGATCAAAAAATAAATAAATTGGCTCAATTTACTCATTATCCTTTCTTTTAAAGGCCAAAGTAAGAATGTTAACTTCTTTTCTACATTATATTCATCTATGCTGATCTATGCTGTTAGTGAGAAAAACACGTGTTATTATTCATATTAAACTTTAAATTATCTGTTTAAAATCCAGTCTTCCCAATGATTTCGAAGCAAAGCCTTGAGAAAACACCCAACAAACAGCTTGATAATAGTTTTGTTACCAGGTATAATTCATAATTTATAGAATTTGCATTGTATCAAATGTTAAAAATTCATTTTGAAAAATACCATAAACTTGGCAGGCAAAATGAAGTTCTGAACGATCTAGACATTTATCCCTTTTTAATAATTCATACTGAAAAATCCCGTAAACTTGGCTTGCATTATGAAGCTCTGAACAATCTAAATCGATTGTTAGACATTTATTCGAATAATAGGGTTGTGTTAGGATTTCAAAGAGAAGTATTGATTGATATTTCGACTAAATTATTGAAAATGAATCCAAATAACGAAGAAATATTGCGTTTTCGAGCTAAAGCATATACTGCGATTGGTAAATATGATGAAGCTTTGGTCGATCTTAATAGATTATTAGAATCTAATCGCTCTAACAAAGAGATGTTGAGTATTCGAGCTCAAGCATATACTGCGATTGGTGAATATGACAAAGCTTCAGAAGATTTGAATAGATTATTAGAAATTAATGCCAATAATAGGAAGGCATTTGAATGTTCTCTTCTTATGAATAGTATCATGGATGAAGAACGTTTATATTATAAATTGAAGAATTATTTTGATAGGAAGTAATCATTAGTTTAATATCCTTGCATTTTATCTTGTCACAAATTGTTTCAATTTTTCTTTGTATTGTTATAGAACGAATTTATTATTAGTTTATTATTTTATTATTTATTATTTATTAATTATCTTAGAATATTATT